AACTTAATATTGTTGCCATCTCGGAGAAAAAAAGATGTCGTTTTAAAATCTTTATGATTTTTACGCCTGTCATGTATCATTTAAGTTATTTTATGAAAGTATTTGCAGCTGTAAGTTCTTAAATACCCATTACTGTGCCCTCAAGAACGTATTTTCAATTTGTGGCTATATTGGGCGCCATCCTTATATTAAAATCAAATGACACGAGTGAAATTTAATGTAAGTGTAAATGTGCATCACGGTAAATTTTAAATTCTGATTCGATGAAATCATTCAGCTGATGTCGGGATTATTGTAAGGTTTATAAAATTTATATCTCATTTATCTTAACAGAAAAAGCTACTATTTTTAAATGACAGCCAAATCAAAAATTAAATGATTTTCATATTTTCCTAAAGCTACATTAGAAATAAATCCTGTCATAAATGGAAATTAATTTATTTGAATATATACCTATAATATATTCCATCACAGGGCATATAAATGTAGTGATTGAACAGGTGAACGTCAAAATAAGTTTTATATTTTGCCGCATGATTCCTTTCAATTTCATCATTTTCTTTCGCATGAGCAATAAATAAAACACGTGACCTTTAAATATGTATTTGAATATAACTGTAATATTCATAAAAATAGTTGGGCATCTATATATTTAGGCAGTTTTATATTTATCCTTAACATTTGCCAAATCAACTGTTGGTTGATCACCTTTATAATCGTCAGTCTTTTGAAAAAAAATATTCAAATTAGCTGAACTTGTCATAAACAAATAGCACAATGTCACTTTAAATTATGCGCTATCTAATGTGTTATTACAATCAAAACACATGAAACATGTTTAAATATCTCATTTCAAAGCATACATTCTATAAGACATATAATTAAATATAGAAAATATAATAAATAGCAAAATATAACCAAATATATAATACATTTCACCTACTTTATTCGTTAAACTACCTGTTTAACGCACTTTTGGGTCGCACCCAAAAGTACGTTACGCACTTTTGGATTGGACCACAAAGTGTGTTGGACCCCAAAGTGCAATGCTTGCTGTTAATAATACAGTGATTCCGTCTTAAAAATTTAAAATACGACACCAATACAATTTAATAATTTACTACAAATTGAATTCAATATACACGTAATACAAAACGATGCAATACAATACAATACAACACAATGTAATGCAATGCAATTCAATACAATAACATACAACAACAATACAATAGATTTAAAACACAATAAATTAATAACAATGCAATTTAATACAATATATACAAAATAAATACAATACAATAACAATACAATATGATACAATACAATACAACGACGCCAATACAATTGAATATACATTTAATACAACACATTACAATACAATGCAATACAAAAAGAATATAATACATAACATAAAAATACAAGACGTTTCAATATACTAGTGTATAACATATTCATACACGTAAGTCAAAGTGATACTTATTCACCCAAACCATATATTGTATGTACAACCAAGTTCCATTGGAGTGTATGATATAACAAATTTGCAAAGAAATTTTATAAAGATGAACATGAAACTTAATACCACACGTTTATATACAATTTTAAAGCAACCATAGTTTTGGTAATTTAATGAAACTCCACTGAGGTTTTTTGACATAAAGGGAATGAAAATATTTTTTCGAGATTTTTGTACCATTTGATGTAGTGTCGAAATTAAGAACTTGTGTGCAAAATTTAAGATTATTTCCTCACATCGTTTCCTTAGAATGATTATTTTAATTGTGCAAAGTTACCAAAAATGAAAAACTTTGCACTATGTTTTTCACTAACACCGGGCTAAAACTCGTAAAAATGGTTTTTAATTTAAGTCTGAGAATATCTATTAATAATCTTTCGAGGATGTTTTCCCACTCTAAGTTCATCACTTGATTTATGCAATAATTTAAGATTATATATTTTTAAGGCGACTTGTACCACCCGTCCTTCCGTCCGATCTTGTCCGCGTTTTATCTTAAAAAAAAAAACGCTGGGGGATTTCAGTGAAACTTTACAGGATTGTTTGTCACAATGCCTAGTTGTGCATACATCCTTATTTTCTGCTTGATTTCTTTGGGTATAGTTATGGCTCCTTAATGGTCAATTTTTGAGTCAGATAAGCTTGCACGCACTTCATCTCCAAAACCGCTGTGGGAATTTCAGTGAAAATTCACAGAATTTCAGCATTCCTTATTGTGCAAAGTATATTGATTTTCCGCTTGATTTTTTGCACAGTTATGGACCTTATTGGTGGTAAATGTTTGCGTAAAATAAGCATGTCCGCGCTTTATCACCAAAAACCGAGGGTGATTTCACAGGACTGTTTGTCACAAAGACTAGTTGTGCATACTCTCCTGATATTCTGCTTGCTTTCTTTGTACAGTTATGGCCCTTAATCGGGTATTTTTGTAAACAATAAGCTTGTCCATAACACATCTTCAAAACAGCCGGGGATTTCAGTGTATCTCACAAGATTGTTCGTTACCATGCCTAGTAAGGCATAGTAAATTTTTGATTAAAATAATATTGGTCACATTTCATTACCAAAAACACTGGGGGAGTTCAGTCCATTTGTCACAAAGCCTAATTGTGCACACTATCTTGATATTCTGCTTGATTCTTTTGGTCCAGATTCAAATTTTGAAAATGGTAAATGAAATAACAACAAATATTTTCTTTAGAGAATATTTATATTGCTAGTTTCATTTCTTTTTTATTTTGAGAACGCTAACCTATTGACTGAACTCATTCGTACAGCTTTTGTGTTGGGACGAAGTCCCACTAGCTCACTCACATGCTCGTAACACCCAACCATATAAGGTATCGCCCACTGCAGTGACATTTCTGCTATATCTATATTTTATTCATTCTTTCATCATTATGCATTTTATAGTGATCATCCGTCCATGACCGTTTTATTGATGTGCATGAAAAGTAGTGCTCTGTATTTCTGAAAAAATTGTTTATATATGGAAACAAAGGATTATCCGCTGAGAGAGAAACAAATCGGTTTAGAGAATGCAAATAAATTTTCTGACTACCAACCATAATATATAGTCATCAACTTACTACCGATTTTAATGAAAAAATGTTTTGTCCGGTAACAGGTGTTCTGGTATTTAATAAATTGTCAATTTCCCTTTTCAAGCCAGATATATCGTTGTATGGAAAAGAAAATTGTGGAAAATAAAGATCGGAAACCCAAACTTTATTATGCGAAACCTGCATGCTTCTTTCGTGTTTTATATGTTAGTTAATAAAAAATATGCAATGTTAGATAAGTGGTTCGAATTTAGTACTCATAAATTACGTTTTACGTAACATGGGTAATTAATTAAATCATCCGAATATAGATTTATTAGCAAGTATTCGACGGTAGCAAATAAAAAAGAGAGGATAAAAACCTGCTACGATAAGATCATTGAGTTCATATGTATAAAAATGCTGATTCATGCGATGATTATTGTGACATTGCTTTTCTTGATATTTTTTTCATATAATTTTGTCAATGTGTGTGGGGGGTAATTAACCTTTTTATGTTTTTGATCTTTTTTACAAAGTATCCAATGTAATTTCAAACAAACACACACATGCCATTTTGTATAAGTAATGGTTTCTACAGGCAATGATATTTAAGATGAATTACATTTTCGGGAATAAAATTCCTTAATGATAAATTTGTTTTTTTTCTTTTTGTTTTGCATTTATTGTTACCGGTACTTATGTCCTCAGCTTCAAGACGAAATTCAACAATTTCTTAAGGTATAGAAGTACTTTAAATATGATGATATATCTAGACATATTGAAATGAGGACTCCTTTGCATAATTTAAAAAGAAAGAAGATAATTCTTAATTTATGGCAAAGAAATATTATATTTTAGTAGAATTACTCCTAAACACGGCAACTACGGGTTGCCTGAGATAAAAAAACATACCTCGGTACTTTTACAGTTACAACTTGGTGATTATATTTGTAATAAGCGAAATCCTTGATCACTTTTTTGAAACGGTTGTGAAGCTATTTTGCACCCGGGATTAGATGGGGGGGGGGAGGATACCCACATTGGCAGCGTTCTGGATAACATATATTATTAAAATTGTTTTAATGATCACTATAATCATCATCATCATCTTTATAAACATCATCATCATCATCATCATCATCATCATAATCATCACTGTCATCATCATCACTGTCATCATCACTGTCATCATCATCATCATCATCATCACTGTCATCATCATCATCATCATCACTATCATCATCATCATCATCATCATCATTTCAGCAACGTCATCATCATACATAACAACATCACTCAAACATTTAACTAACATGAAAGTTTGTTTTCTTGAGCCTTAGGACACACCGATTAAGTCAATGCGACACTGTAAAAGGTGCAGCTTTACTAAAGTAAATGAAGACTTCAGATTCCCCTCTATGCAATAGTCCAGCCTGACAAGAAGAATCCAAAGTCCCTGACGAACCCACAGCGATGGAGGGCAAGTGATTTGAAGTAAGAAGCCGTATCCAATTAAAGAACATCGAATATATAAGCAATTTTAAGAACACGATGTAAAGCACATGTAAATTGAAGTGCACCGGTCCCTACTATAAATGAGTCGTACCGGTTAGTCACGTAAAACCCCACTAAAACAGATATTTGGTAACAACACTCATAAATGACAAGACAGTTTTTTTTATTAGTAAAAAAAAACAGATGATGTACATTTGTATCTTCACATAAAACATTAATTTACATATGTTTTGTATGTAATTGATAAAATGATATTAGTATCTATTACGTTTTTAAATGTCTGTCCATATTGTTATATACAGTAACGAAATCTCGTTATTTCGCGTTCGGCATTAAGCGGATTGGCAAGCATATGAGGTGAGACTGAAAGCTATGAATGTTAGAATTTAAAATAAACTTTAAAAACCTTTCACAATGTTTTAATAATAATAATAATAATAATAATAATAATAATAATAATAATAATAATAATAATAATAATAATAATAATAATAATGATAACCAGAGGTTTCATATCATGAAATATAAGTTCTCTTTGAGATACAATACTTGTGTTGATAGGTAAACGATGAAAACAAAAATTACAGCATTGATTCTTGCCTTTGCCATTTTACTGAGTGCTACACACCAAAGCGATGCTCAGTTCTACAGAGGATTTGGAAGGCGTGGTTTCCGAAGAGGCGGATTTGGGAGGGGCATAGGACTTGGTTTTCTAACCGGTGCATTAATAGGAGGCGGAGGCTTTGGATACCCGTACGGTGGTCATTATGGAGGATTTTTCCCTGGGCTACTTGGTGGAGCACTTTTGTTCGGCTAATAAATCTAAAATGCCAAATCATTTGTGAATAAAAGGTAAACATTTTTATGTTGAATATCTTTTTTATTTATTACGGCTAAAATACCGCAAATTTTATAAAACAAATTAAAGACTATTATTTGTTCGTTAAAGGCATGACATCACCAGGCAATCATTTATCATATATTCAACGTTTGGTTTATTCAATTGAGTAAATTTCCTTTTTCCGAACCAAGCATTGAATTTTGCAAATTTTAATATAGTCTGTCATTGGATTTATAGGTCTTCTTTTACGTCAGGCGTCTGCGTTGAAATGAAATTGCTCATAGTCGTCACATTTTCTCAAGTGTAATTTCTACGTCGAATAAGGTTATTCCGTTTAACATTTCTAATGTTTTATTGCTGGGTGATAAACAGAAAGAAAGAAAGAAAGAAAGAAAGAAAGAAAGAAAGAAAGAAAGAAAGAAAGAAAGGAAAAACAACAACAACAAAAACATAGTTTTAGTTGCAAAAACGCCTGCTAAGCCAAAAAACAACAACAAACAAAACCATGTAAACAAGCAAAGAAAAAAAATCAACAAAACTCCCTCTCTCAAAAAAAACAACAACAAAAAAACAACAAAAAAACCAACAATAACACACACAAAAGACAAAAGAATCAAACAACGAGAAAGAACCCCCCACCCCTCACACACAATACATCGAATAACAAACCAGCAAAAAAGTTTGAGTATAGTGTTTATACAATGCACTAGTATTAATGATTAGAAATTATTCTAAGTAAACTCTATAAGTGATTCTCTCTAGTCTAGGTTTGAATGAGCATACTCGAATCTGGACTGTGAAATGATACTACTATAATTTCTATTGTCGGAGATAATAGTTCATAGATTTTTCTTGATATGTATACATGCACATGTAATTTATTTATTATATTCCCGTCAGTTCTTTGAATGTATTTCATTTTCGACTGGAAACGTATTTTGTTGAGACAAATTTGGATTGGACGCAATCTGCTCAGATAGAATCAAAATTAAAATTAAAATTCAGTATTTAATTTGAAGACAGTCGTATGTCAATCTGACTGAAGTTCAAATAATTGATTTCTCGCATAGCGTTATTTAGAAGCTGTTGTAAATCAGATTGGTGGTATGTATAATTATAATAAACAAATGGCTATTCTCTTAAGATATAAATTCATGCGAGCGCATTTCAAATTAAACAAGTGACATTTATTCTTTCAATAACAATTGTATATTTTTATCAGGGCCTATGTTTTATTTTTCAGATAAATGAAAAATGACTGAAAAACATGGATATTGGACAGCATTACTTTAAGACAACTTCAACAACAACAACAACAACAACAACAACAACACAAGCTAGAATTTCATTGTTGTCATAAAATATTTTGATAATAAAAAGGTGATATTTGATTTGTAATGAGTTCGTTGTTGAACGATAAGTTAACATTTCATGATGTCAAATTTGTCATACCTTCACTTCTCAAAGGTCTGCTTCTTTATACAGGCTAGAGTTGCTTAAGTTTTGTAAATCATGTCTTTGGGGTCAACATAGGACAACCTCGAAGGGCTGAAATAGAAATTTGTAATTTAAAAAATTTGAGCCGCGTCACGACAAAACCAACATAGTGTGTTTGCGACCAGCATGGATCCAGACCAGCCTGTGCATCCGCGCAGTCTGATCAGGATCCATGCTGTTCGCTCACCAACCCTATTACAAGTAGAGAAACTGATAGCGAACAGCATGGATCGTGATCAGACTGAACTGATGCGCAGGCTGGTCTGGATCCGTGCTGGTCGCAAATCATTATGTTGGTTTTGTCAAGACGCGGCTCATTTGCTCTTTTGTCAAACGTATTGACCACACTGCATTACATATTGACCCACCCTTATGCGTAGCAGAATTGCCGTTCATGTAATAAACACGACCCAGCAATGTCCAGGATTCTAGATATCTGGTAAAAATCTGTTGGTTCGAAATAACGACCCTTTTGTAAAACAAAACTTTGTGCTCGTTAGTAAAGTGTGTATTTATTACTGTCCCTATCAATTGATTGTCTTTTGATTTCTTCATGATATGTTATACTCTGCGCAATCATTATTATGCCCCCACTTTGAAGAAGAGGGGGTATATTGCTTTGCACTTGTCGGTCCGTCCCGTCCGTCGGTCCGTCGGTCCGTAGACCAAATGGTTTCCGAGTGATAACTAAAGAACCCTTAGGCCTAGGAACTTCAAACTTGGTATGGTGATTGGTCATGACCAGTAGATGACCCCTATTTATTTTGGGGTCAAGGGGTCAAAGGTCAAGGTCACATTGACCTCTTGGGTAAAAGCGGTTTCCGATCAATAACTAAAGAACCCTTTGGCCTAGGAACTTCAAACTTGGTATGGTGATTGATCATGACCAGCAGATGACCCCTATTGATTTTGGGGTTAAGGGTCAAAGGCCAAGGTCACATTGACCTTGTAGGTAAAAACGATTTCCGATCAATAACTAAAGAACGCTTAGGCCTAGGGACTCTAAACCTGATATGGTGATTGGTCATGATCAGTAGATGACCCTTATTGATTTTGGGGTCAAGGGGTCAACGGTCAAGGTCACATTGACCTCTTAGGTAAAAAAGGTTTCCGATCAATAACTAAAGAATTCTTAGGCATAGGAACTTCAAACTTGGTATGGTGATTGGTCATGACCAGCAGATAACCTATTGATTTTGGGGTCAAGGGGTCAAAGGTCAAGGTCACATTGACCTTGTAGGTAAAAAATCGGTTTCCGATCAATTAACTAAAAACGCTTACGCTTAGGAACTTCAAACTTTGTATGATGATTGGTCGTGACCAGCAGATGACCCCTATTGAGTTTGGGGTCAAGGTGCCAAAGGTCAAGGTCACATTGACCTTGTAAGTAAAAACAGTTTCTGATCAATAACTAAAGAACGCTTAGGCCTAGGAACTTCAAACTTAGTATGGTGATTGGTGATGACCAGCAGATGACCCTATTGATTTTGGGATCAGGGGGTCAAAGGTCAAGGTCACATTGACCTTGTAAGTAAAAACGGTTTCTGATCAATAACTAAAGAACGCTTAGGCCTAGAAACTTCAAACTTTGTATGATGATTGGTCATTGCCAGCAGATGACCCCTATTGATTTTGGGGTCAAGGGGTCCAAGGTCAAGGTCACATTGACCTTGTAGGTAAAAACGGTTTCCGATCAATAACTTAAGAACCCTTAGGCCTAGGAACTTCAAACTTTGTATGATGATTGGTCATGACCAGTAGATGACCCCTATTGATTTTGGGGTCAAGGGGTCAATGTCATATTGACATTGTACTTAATGACAGTTTCTGACCAATTACTCAACAACTCAAGTTGCCTTGGTTGATATTTTTATATTAAACTAAAAATGCTTTTGGTATACACATTTGAAGGTCTTATGTAATATAACAACTTGGCTTTCATTAATGAGGCCTACATGATTCATAAAATTTATGCATATATTATTTGGTAAGATTTGTAATAACTTAAATTGCTGCACACAACCTATGGGATCACAATAATTATTACCTTGTGACTAGTCATGACCAGTAGATACTAGATAACCCTTATTAATTGTTTGTTCACTGGGTCAGAAGTCATGCATAATAACCTGATCACATGACTAATTGGCTGCCGATAGGGGGCATACATGTTTTACAAACATATCTTGTTTGAAATAATAAAACAGCGGCAAAACTTCAGTATTGAATTGCTAATTACATGTATAGCTCTCGCTTTCTTAATTTTTTATGGATAGAAAGCTGAACTCATTTTTTTTCATCTTCCGTTTTGTTTTCGTATTTTCAACTTTTCGCCTCACGACAAAGGATAATTATATAGCAATTATCAGTAAATATACTTATTGGTTATTGTCTAGACATCTATCGTAAAATATCGGCTTAAAGCATGATAACCGAGGAGATCAGATAGTCTTGTCACAATAATTTAATATTTTTTCTTAAATCTATATAGCAGATAATAAAGTTCTACAAAATATTATTATTCATCATACATATGGGATATTGAATGTCTGTAATTTTGATACTGAATTTATTGAACGAGTTGAAAAAATTAAATTACGCAAGCCGCCTCCGGCGAGCATGATATTATTTTATTCAACGAGTTCAATAAATTCAGTTATGAACTTTAAAGAATTTAATATTATATTTATCACATACGCAAAATACAAACCGTTTGAAGTGAAAAAGAACAATTTCCCATTGACGTGCCTATAGTACTCGTATAACGCTAAGTTAACGCGCCTCTTAACGCTATGTAACACCGCACTTTGGGGTCAAACGCACTTTGGGGTCCAACCCAAAAGTGCGTTAAACTTCGCACCGCACCTTGGGGTCAAACGCACTTTGTGGTCAATATCGAGAAATTGACCCCAAAGTGCCTTTATATGCTACATATCAACGCACTTTGGGTTCATGAGGTCTTAAGGTGTCATCTGAGTTCTGCTTAACTACTGAGTACTGACTTATTTTCTATCTGCGACATTGGAATATTTGAGGTGGAGTTCAAAATGGCAGTCAATACTTTATGATGCTTAAGTGATAGTTTCATTAATTTTACCACTTGACATATCTAAAAATTGTGTTCATATAACAAAATTACGGTGGCATAAAAGTGACATTTGCATTTTTTTTGTTTTTAGTGTTGTATACATATTTAATTTTAGTTTTGCATTCATATTTTTTTCAGTTTTGAATAAATATTGTGTATAAAACTAGCACAGTGGTTTGGTCACATTTCGGCCCATTTTTGGAATCGGCCCAGTCGTTTTCGGCCGGGCAAGTCTGGTTTAGGTCGGCCTTTTTCGGCCCATTTTTTATATTATATGTATTTTATATACTTATTGTTTTTTATTATTATATACTATTATATTTCTATTCGAAAAGCTATTGATTGGTAATCAGTTATTATTCCATGCATATGCACCACTCAGCCCCACCCCCTGAGAATTGAGAATTATGAAACTTAGGTCAATTCTTTAGCACATCCAGATAATGTGCAGAACTTATATACAAGGTGTGCCGGCTAAAGGTCGGGGTCACACCTACAAGTCAAAGGATAAAGATTTGGGTTTCATGTCCGATCCTTATCTCCGAAACCCCATGAAGGATTTTAAGGCACCTTGTGACAAGTGTTAACCACATCGGTACCATATGCAGAACCTTTCTTTGGGTTACCGCGGACTATATATTTATATATATACTAAAATGGGTTGTTATTTTTTTGATACCTCCAAAAATGAAAATGTTGGTCTTTGCAAATGGGTTACTGTAATTTACAGATGGCGAAGTGTTTGAAAATGGTGTTTTACAAATGGTGTAATTATCCAAACCTCTATTTTGCAAATGGCGTCATGTAAAAATATGTACGAAAAAACAAAAACAAAAATAAAATAGTACAAAAAGACTAAAATAAAATATGTATGCAAACTTAAAAAAGAATATGTATGCAAAACTTAAATATGTATTCAAACTAAAAAAGAATAAGTATGCAAAACAAAAAAAAATATGTACGACAAACAAACAAAAAATATGTACGAACAACAAAAAAAAAAAGTATCAAAAAATACAAATTTAACTTTTATGCCACCGTTCAAAATACTCTAGTAAAGAAATTGTGTATTCCTAGAATTAAAAGATACTGCGAAAAATATCCCATTTACTTGATAACTTTTGGTGCCATATTGAGCCCAATTTTAAGCTTATCAACAAACTTTCAACATAAAATCAGGCACATTTTTTACTGAAATGTCTTACTAAGATTTCCCAGAATTTATACCTTTGTCTATGCTAAGACTATCATATTTCTATAAAATGTGTAAATAAAAAATTGGAAAATAATGCATTTAGCTAAAAACAATGGAATTTATGAAAGGTGTACATTCTTTTAAAATAAATGGAAAGTTCTACCTTAATTCTTTATTTGGTGATTTATTTGGTGAAAGTTCTTCACTTACTAATCAAGACCAATTAAATCCCTATTGATTCTACTATCATTCAGGGCACATGTTTGTGTATATTTAATACCTTGATTTTTTGTTTACCATTGACTTTGACTACAATATATAATTTAAAACATAATTAACATTAATTTTCTATGAGTGCGGCCGTTTGCCTGATGTTAAAAAATGCATGTGTACCTGTTTAACGCACTTTGGGGTCGAAATTGGACCCCAAAGAGCGTAACGCCAATCAAGCCAGAATATATGCACGACCGTGCAATACATTTTTTATGGAGTCGCAAAAGCGGCACGGGTGTGTG